GGTGTTTATAATTGTTAATTCTATGTGTTTTATGAAAACATTAAAGCTAAAATGAAAAGGTTATGTTACCTGGTCTGTAGTGTTTGAAATCCAGAATACTGTGTCTGTCTGAATTTAAAAGTTTCTGTTAACAAAATTATTGGCACTATCTAAACTTTGGCCACATTTCCAATATATTCAGGTAATTTAGGCCATGAGATATTGATCAAGATTAAATGTAAACTTGACACCATGACTTAGAAGGGCCTCACCTCTATGTAAGGCACAACTCTGCAGGAGAAATCTCCCAGCAGCCTCTTATTGGTGAGTTCATTAAAGACCACCACAGGCAGACAGAAGCACAACACCAGAAAATCCCAAAAAGCCAAACTTGCAAGAAAGTAGTTCCATGCGCTCCTCATGAAGTAATTTTGCCACACAATGCACATTACTGCCAGATTACCCACGACGCCGAAGGCAAACACCACAAAAGCAAGAAAGAGAATCCCATAAGCGCTGTAAGAGCTGTCAGTGATGGGAAACAAAGGATTGTGGATTTTTGTGATGCTCCTTTTTGTTGGATTGCTATTAGAAACCTGTTCACTAGTCACATCGGTGCTGTTTCCATTTTCAGCCAGTGTGGAACTGGTCATCTCTGTGAAGGGCAAAGGACTTGTAGTTTGTGTGTCCATGGATCCTTTATCTTCCTCTTCCACATCGAGCACTTCTTGCTGTGTGCTTTCTTGTGAATCATGTTGATTAAAACTATCCTCCTCGACAGGTGTCGTGTCTTGACTTGAAGCACAAGCACTCAGAAGCAAAGCCAGTGTCATAAGATAAATCAATTTATAATCGTGTATCCCCATCTTCAAGGCAAAGTCCAGTAATATACAAGTCAGAGGAAATTGCTTCAAAATCAGTAACTAAAAACAGACAGCAGAGGCTGAGGTAAAGACCCTGGTGAAGGCACTGCTGCAGTTTGGGATCCCTTGTGCCAAAAGGCTCTGTTTTCTGCAGTCCTGTTGACCAGAGAGCAGCTCTCTTATCAAAGCTATGGATGGCTGCTCCCTCTCAATAGGGGTCTATGGAGTCACACCCCCTTTTGCTGTTCTCCCTCACTGACTGATGGGTGTGATTGCCCTCTGCTGGCATTAAAATGCTGTTTTAAAGCACTATAATTTCACTTTAATTTACTGAACTGAGATTTTTTAACATGACTGTTAAAGTGAAAGAAATAAAACAATTTTTCAAGCTGTGGCGAATTAAAGAGATTAAATAAAATGCATAAAGGCACATACTACCAGTCAGAAGTTTGGAATAATTTAGGTTTTTGAATGTTTTTGAAACAAATCTCTTGCTCACTAAGGCTTTAATATCTTTTAAACTGCACATTTTTTTCCCTGCGGCTTCAGCATCCATTACTCCAGTCTTCAGTGTCAGATGATCCTTCAGAAATCATTCTAATACCGGTATTAGAATAGTGGGGGGGGCTGAACAGTATTTTTGTTTACGGTGATGAAACCTGACAGACATAGGTTAAAAAGCTGGTTAGACAATCCTTTAAAGATGACATGACTGAAGTTATCATGTCTGAACTTCTAGGAATCTAGATTAGAATGGGTTAGATTAGAAGATTGGATTGCTTCCAGAAAAGATTAGATTAGAAAAAAAACATGCATGTGTAAAAATACCATCTCTATCTCTGTGTTTAACCTCAATCAGCATGATATCTGTTAAGCAGAGTTTGCGATACAATTTCTCTGATTTGGATGAATATATTACCTTTGACTGAAAAGTTTTTTTTTTTTGCTGCAGTTCCTGCTTTGGTCAGGGGAGGCCGCAGTTTTTCAACACAGAAACACAGATGGCAATGGCTCTTCACAGACCACGAGAAGTGGCTATTTAATAAGAAAACAAAGACAGGCGTCTCTAATTCTACAGCTGCGGAGGTTTGACGATGGAGCATCTGTACTGGTCATGTGGCTGCAAAAGGAAACAAAAGTAACTTCTCTGTCACTGACATCTTCTGAAAGAGCTCGTTGTGGAGGTGTTCAGTTTGAATTCAGTTTCCCTGTTTCCCCCTCACAGCGCCTGCGCAACTTCGCAGTGTTGCCAAGTCCGCGGTAGTTTTTAGTAGCAATTGGGAGGGTATTTTTATATCCTGGCAACCCTGAAACTTCAGTACTGAAATCATGACGTCATGATTTCGCCCCGGCTAAGCAAGTCAGCTTATGGTGGTTTTGCTGTCTTTCTGCAAGCAACGTTCATTTCACCATGTTAATTAGATCATTTGTAATTAAATACGTATTAATGTACGTGACGTCCTGTTCAATCGCAACATAGAGTCTGATTCCCCTGCTAATTCTAACTTTTGCCTGTTTTATGAAGTGTAACACCATACATTACAATTAGACAGTTAAATTCCTTCGTCAGGGGCATTCTTTTGTTCAGACGCCCATTTCCATTTTATTGTTATTGTTGTTGTTAGTGTGTGTGTGTGTGTGTGTGTGT